GGTCACCAAAGTGGTTCGCGCTCCACTTGAGCGTTGTTTCGCGATGTGAGGAGGCGCACCGTCTGGATGGAATCACATGAGGTCCATGAGACTGCCATACCTCGTTTGGGCTCACTTCAACAACTTCTTTAGCGTCGCTTGGTAGCGCTTTTGGTCGTCAGCCACGGTGTTGTCGCTCCCATCCTCGAACCGAAGTGGAACTGGCCTGTCTGTCTTCTCATCTGACCTAAGGATTCCTTTCCTGTGGAGTCATCTCAAGGGCCAGGTCTACAAGGAAGGTTATGTAGGCCTCTGTTATCTGAAGAGAGCGATCACCAAGGCTGTGCGAGTCATACCAGAGGACATGTGTCATCGGGCTATCGCGTCAGCCGGCAGGCGGGCCGCTCTGTGCCTGTCTCGCAAAGGTGGCCTCTTCGAACATTTGCTGTGAGAGACTGAAAACGAGAGAAAGCAGACGAGAGAGATGTCATTATGAATTTCCACGAAATGTTCTCTCGTTTGGTATCATTTTCAGTCACCTGCATGCAATAACACATATTTTATGCGAGTTCAAAATGTTTCCATCCTTTTTGGTCCACCCTGTACATACATGATAACCTTGAGGTCAACCTTTGACCTTGATCTTTCGAGGTCAACTCATACCTCTTTCTATGCGGATTGATGAGAGAAACACGATGGTGCAATTCATTTGTTCCTAGCTTGGCTTAATCAAAAGTTATTCGACAAAAACTCTTCATATCTAGCGCCACTATTTTGGCTTTTTGAACCCTGTGACGTCATAATTGCCCTGACCTGAAAATGACCTGTGTAAAAATTATAGACCCTGTCCGTGTGTACAACATGCCGACTACCGCATGTCACTATCTTGCTTAGCTCTCGAGTCTCGAGATCTCAGGGGAGCGGTGATCCGCCCCCTCCCCCGCCGTCAGAAGTAAGCTGGCGCGCGGTTCAAGAGCTATGGAGAGGTACAGAAATCACGTATTGCTTACGGCAGGGTACTACCCATGCCCCACTGGGGGGGGGGGGGCATGCATAGCCCCCTCTCGTTTTTCTGCAATAACTTCTAAACCGCTAGATGTATCGACGCTAAACTTTCAATACCTTCGGCTGCATCAATTTGATACCCTGTGTCAAAATAACTTCGTAGCCACCCTACATCGGCCGGATATGACGACAGAGTGACGTCATGTTCGGCCGATTTCGACGCAAAACATTGAACCACGGGAATCGCTCTCAAGAGCTTAGTTTTTAAGCTAGATCCAATTTCTTGCATGAGAGGACTGAGAATAGATTGTGCTATCACACTGCTATCTCGGATGGTCAAAATTTTGAAATTTTCGAAAATCATATATATTAAAATCCAAAATTTAAATTTTTGTCCTTTATCAAAAAGTGTTTGACTTTTCGAAAAGAAAAAACGGAATATATGTAATAGAAAACATGCTTATGATTTACTCTAGCAAGTTGTAGCCAGATATTTTCAAAAAGAGCCAAGTTATACCATTACCTATAGCAAAAAATTCACAATTATAAAGTTTTCCAAGTAAACTTTTTAAGCACGTACTTGACGTCGTACACCAATATAAATGTCACCATCCTGTTCCTTAGCTCAAAGTGCATCCGATATATACTTTTTTGTTGAAAAACATTTACTTTAAAATTTAACATTTTTGTATCTGAAAGTTGCCTGACCTAAACTATGTAAATTCCACTCAAAACGACTTCGAATGGCAATTGACATAAACACTTATGTGTGAATGACATTCACGCTTGAACGTAGCACCATTGACTCGACATATTCGATCTATGGCACTATTTTGGAAAATGTAACATTGATCCGAGATTTAGGCATCATTCTTGATCAAAAGCAAGATTTCGCCGATCACGTGCATTCAGTGGCCACAAAGGTTAATAGAGCGCTCGGGCTCCTCATTCGAACATTCCAGTCGGCCTCTCCAAAGTGTAAGCTGGACAGGCAGGCCGTATTGGCAGCTTATCATGCCAATGTTCGATCTGTGGTCGAGTACCGTTCAGTGATATGGAGTGGAGTGGCCAAATCACATATGTTCGTGTAGGGGGGGGGGGGGGTCCAACACAAGTTTTTTATGTGGCTGGCTTGTCGTACCACGAATCGTAATTCGTCGCCTCGCTCAAGTATTCGGACCTACTGTCATCATTTCACGTGTCACACTTATGAGCACGGCGCGCAAAGTGTGATGTTCTGTTTTTATGCAAGGTTTTTCAAGGCTTCATCTAATCATCATATTTACTTGGGTCTTTTAACCCACGCCCGTATAGAGGGGGGGGGGGGTCGAACGGACCCCCATCGGTTTTTCGCAAATAACTCGCGTAAAAAGCGGCTGACCGCAACGAAACTTTCAGTACCCTCGTGTTAATCAATTTTATACCTACTCTGAAACTTTCATGACCCTGACCCAAATGACCTTTGACCTGTGACCTACTTTTCGAGACCATGTTTGGCCGGAATCGCGATTCGGCGTATGTCGGTTCGCATTAGCCGCGCGTTTGCAGTCTTTTCGTGGTTTCAAGCGTTAAAACATGTGATATGATGTTGCCCCCATGCATTAGGGTGGGTGTCAAGGTCACCTGAAGGTCAGGTCAGGTCACTGACCTTTGATGACCTCGTTTCACTTTTCGAGTTTTACATGTTTCTAGGCTAGTTTTTGGAGCTGAATTCGAATTTAGCAACCATATGAACATTTACAAAGCAGTTTTGGTGTCTTTGTTACATGTTACAAAGCTGTCAGAGGCGGTCGACACTTACTACGAATACCCGGCAGGACCCCTACTGCTTGACCTGACCTGACCTGACCCGATCTGGCCTAAATGCATGAATGCATCATCAGTGAAACACCATATCAGGGGGGCTTTTTGTGCCCATTCCTCGCTGCGTCAATCAGTTTCTTGAGTTCGCACCCAAGTCAGATATTTTCTTTGACTCGATCGGGCGGCTCACGCGAGAGGTATCGGCTTATGTGTCAACACTGGCGTGCGTTATGTGATAGGGTCGGCCTCTGCCGGATGCGAAGAAGTGGTTTGTGTGTGGGGGAGGGGGTATTTATGCATGTATGCGTGTGCGTGTGACCTCACCTGTCATTGGGCGTAAGCCTGTTGGTGATTTATGAAAATACAAGATACAAGATACAAGAAAACGACATCGAATTCGAAATCTATGGCCTAAATGAACCATAAAACATGTGTCACGTGACCGACGCATGATATAAGATTTCCGTGACCTGTGATGACCTGACCCTGACCTGAAAATCAAAGTACAAGTTTGGTACCCTCAGGGTATCTAAAGAATCTGTTCACGAGTGTGTAAACCAAAAAAAAGAGCCTAATCTGACTTGTAAGACCGCGACCAGAGCCTTAAATGTGAACAAGCCAAACATCGATAATTTTTAATTTGAACTGACCTGTGACGTCATCAGTGACCTCAATGTCAATGAAATTAGGTTCCGCTCGACAGTTTTTTCCGGGCTATCAGACGCCGTTTGAATTTTGACGATCGGCCGAGTAGTTTTGGAGTAAGGATGGGGGCTATGAATAGCCCTCTCCCCCCGCCCCGAGTAGGGCGCGTCATGCGCAGACCCCTGCAGTGGGGCGCGGGTTAATTAACCGGCGCCTCGTAGGGGGGGGCGAAACGGCCCCCCCTGTCCTTTTCCGTCGATTTCTCCTAAACGACTGCAGATATCGTCACCAAACTTTCAGGATCCTTCCGGACATCAATTTTACACATTGTGACCGAAAACCTTTCTAGAGACTATGATAGGTTGGCGGCAAATGACGTCAGAATGACGTCATCTTCTGCCGTTTTCGACCCAAAAAAAGGTTTCACGGGAAAAGCTGTCAGGCCTACAGCTTTGAAGATGCAGAAAAGCGATCAAGACACAACAGTTGTAGAATTAACAGGGCTATAACACTGCTATCTGGGATTTTTGTGAATTTTTGGATCTTGACCCCAAAAATCAAAAAAATATTTTTTTTTTGATATAATAGCCAAAAATTCCAATTTTTCCTGGATTTTGAAAAAAAAAACGGAATGTATGTGATAGTCCCTCCCACCTTCTATCCACATACCAAACTCGAGATTGATATCTCTTTTTTGGTAAAATTATAGCGGAAAAACTTCAAAATTGATGACGTCAAGCTCTTTAACTCAATTTTTAGCAATTCTAGACCATGCAGCGCAAAACAAAGACCACCATTGAGCTTTCCGTGACGAGCTGCATCGAACCGATACCCAATGTATGCAAAAATAGCAACTTTAAAATTTGACCTATTTAGACCTGACCTTGACCTGACCTTCACCAGAACATAACCTTAACTGGCCCCAAAGGTTGCCTGACCCACATTATCCTATTTGTTATGTAAATGAACCATAAAATATGTATCACACGACACGTTAGTATTGTGACCCTGAGTGACCTGACCTCTGTGACCTTACCTGGTATTAATGACCTTAAATAGCAGCATGTGTTTTACGGACAATTCCCCCATCAGTGATTTTCAATTATATGCCTTTTACTCGATGTTACAACACATTTCTTGAAATACCTGTAAACGGTGAAAATTTGACCTTTGACCTGACCTGTGACGTCATCAGTTGGACCGAGGTCAATGAAATTGGGTCACAAGGTAGTTGCGTGGTAGGGCTATCCTACGCCGTTTGAATTTTGAACATCGGCTGATAAATTTCCGAGAACTTAGGGGGGGGGCCGAAACGCCCTCCCCCTTATAAGTGGTAGGGTCCGCCGATAGCCCTACGGGGCACGGGTTAAGCTGCAAGCTTGAAATGGAACAAACTATTTTCAAATATTCCCAAGTCGTGAAATAAAATGGCATTTCAAGTAGCCCCACACAGCTTATATCTACATGAATTTTATTGCGTTGACCAGGATTGGTCGTAGCATTTTGCAAAGCATCAAACGAACATTTGATATATTTATTTGAGAAACATGAATTTCTAAATAACTTACTGCGCGACGCAATGAGCGGCGGTCAAAATGTGTGTCTCGTCAATCAGCGAGCCACCACAAAACTGCCGCTTCCCCTTGAAAATACCAGCCTGCAAAAGAAAAGAAAAACAAAGGACACATTTGTCAACACTTGGGTATAATCACTATTGTATGATTTCAAGCTTTTACTATTATAATTGTTTCAAAAATCCTATGGCTGCATGTTCATTATCGAAGTTATCATGTGATATTTGGCAGCTTTAGCGTCTGACCAAGAATCTCTTCCCACAAAAAAATAGTCTTCTTCAATTTACAGTGTTCGCAAAATTATGTTAGGTACGATTTTATTTGCTTTGTAGGAAAAATTGGTTTGACGCACGTGCATGTATTTACGCTTATTTGAAAGAGCAGATTCAAACTTTGTTTAACAAACTTTGTCATTTTCAAACTTTGTTTAACGTGCATTTTAATTGCTAATATTAAAAGTCCTGTCCTATACATAGCGAAAAATAATTATCGCAATAGCACTTGGAGATTATATCCAACGTTTCCGCGCGACAACAATTCGGTGGATGCTTTGAAACGTCCGCTCCACCTCCTGTAAGGCGATCTTTTTTCTGCTGCACATGCAACTTACTACAAAAGTGATCGTTGTTAAATCAAATGAATGCTAGGAAGTCCTAGAAAAACAGTTATTTAAAGTGATTTCAACTATAAAAAGATCACCCATTTGTTCAACAAGCTGCCTTCCAGGACCATCTGAGAGCTCGTGCAAGATATGGGGGTGCGGTCCTTCTTGTTGTTATTTGCTTGTTGGGGCTTTAGGGCGCGCCGACTGCAAAGGTCATTTTGCGCCCATAACGTCGCACTAATAAAACAAGTTTTCAAAAGAAGAAACCGTCTAGATACCAAGCCTAGAAAGTAAAAGACTTGATAAAGATTGGAGAAACATGCCCCCCGCTCCCCCCCCGCAGCGTCCACGAACGACTTTCTGGATCCGCCAGTGGCCAAAAAACGTCCAGTCAATAGAAAAAGGTTCATACCACTTAAGTCATTTTGCCCTGCTGCGGGTTTTAGGAGGCATACCTGTTGCCGGAGATAGAGTCGGAGTCGATCAAGCGACTCTGCAGCACTGCAATAATGTAAGGGTACCGTTGCAAGCAATTCGTATAATTTGAATTTTTATCTGTGAATCATAGAAAATAAAAAAATAAAATGAAATAAAACTTGTTCGATAAAGGATTACTTCTTTTTTTTCCGTAGAATGACAGGTAACTGAGAAAAAGCAGCTCGACAGCTTCGATATTGACATTCAATTTGAGCAGGGGATAATCCCCCACCCTCACTCCAGGGGGGACGGTGTCCCCCATCCACCGCTGTGGCGACGCCCATGTTTGAAGGCCATGACAACATATTTCAGCAAGACATTTGATTCTAGCTTATTTGAGCTGGTGATGATGGCGCAACGAAATCATGACATATTTTCGCGAGCACCCTGTAGGTATACTCGGTAAATGCATGGAAATCGTGCCTTCAAAAATGAGCATACTTTGATGACGTCACTCGTGGCATCTGGCACCCAAACGTCCGCGTGATTGCACAAAGTGTCAACGAATTTGAGGAGTAGCCAAGGTCAGAATTGAGTAAGCAGTTCTGTCCATGGTAGGGGAGAGCGGGGTCAAATGTAACATGGGGCAATTGAGACAGTTTATTATTCATAAATTTACCATTAAAATGAGCTGATATTAAGATCGTAAACAGGGGTGGATTTTTGTTTTTTATTGGGGTTGCACTGCCATGAAAGGGCGCCCAAACCGGTTCCGAGGGGTGCAATGGTCCCTAAGTGGTCGCCACCAGGGGCGGTCGTAAACTTGGCGTTGGGGAGAGGAGGGGGGGGGGGCAAATTGGCAAAGGGGCCCCTGTAGACCCTCGGGGAGGGGGCGGTGTGTTATCTTAACCTGCGTACCGCGGAGGGGGGCGAAAATCCGCCCCTCCCCCTGAGGTTTTTCGTAAGTAGCGGAAAACTTATGAAACCAGTATGTACTATACTAGACCCTTATATTAGCCCGGCGTAAGATCATTTAAGGCCAGCATTGAGATTCACCCTCAAAAACCGGGTGACGCCTCACACAGCAGTATGGGTCTTTGAATTCCAACGTGGGTCTTACGAGACCTGCCTGAGCCATCAGAGGCCAGTGCGGGGTCGTCAAAGGCCAGTTCGGAACCTCAGTTCTGAACCTCTGAACCTCTGAGCCCTTGGAGGCCAGCGTTGGGCCTTGAGAGGTCAATGTAGGCCCCCTTGACTGGTAGGTATGGGCCCTAAGAGACAAGTGTGTTGCCAATGCGACCCAAAATAGACACAACTAATGGCATGGGGCTCTCAGATACTGGCAGCGGCCCTTAAAAACCTACATGGGCCAAAAAGATCGACAGGGGCTCTCCGAGACCGGCAGAGAATAAGAAGATAGCATGAGACGCCCATAATGGGCAAGCCCTGGCTCTCAAAGACCTAAATGCAACTATCAGAGACCAGTGTGGGACCCTTGGCAGCAGACATGGTCCCTCAGAAACCGATGTGACCCCGGCATGGTAATAGACCTTAATGGGCCCGCTGCGACGAGATAACGGCCCTTACTTAACCCGCGCCCTGCTGGGGGGTGTTTGAACACCCCCTTGTGGTTTTTCGCGAATATCTCAAAAACAGCGGCGCGGAGCGCCGCCGTTTTTGGTACACTTTAATATACATCAATTCTACACATGTTGTGAAAATTTCAGACCAAGGTCATTCAAGGTCAGGTCACCAGGTCACTTGAAGTGACCTCGCCTCATAAAAAGTTTCAATGTCTGCCATAGCTACACCGAGTGACCGATCGCTTTGAAACTTTTAGCGATTGCTAAGAGCAATAGCATGTACAAAATGTTTGTCTCAAAATTTTGATATCGATGACCTAAGGTCAGGTCAATGTTGCGACCTCCCCATTATAAGTCAATGGGAGAAAATTGAAATGCGCCTCTTTTGGACAAATGACATTATAAACACTCCCAAACACTGAATTACAAGTGGTTTAGATACACTGAACATGAAAATGGTGTCTGTGACCCCTGTTTAAGCCCCTGAGGTCATCTTAGGTCACGAATGGTATCTAACAGTTTTTCGCAAATAACTTTTGATACAGGCATGCTAGAGCGATGAAAACGCCTTAGATGTGTTCAGCTCGACGATACGGATCGACTGATATGCAACATGACCCCTTCCGGTCAGGTCATGACCTTGACCTGAGGTCAAATTTTCAAGTTGACCTTTCAAGGTCAAGTTATAGTTCATTCGATGCGTCTTGACGAGAGGAACATGATGCCGGTAAAAGTAAGCTCGTACAAGGCTTGGGTCAAAAGTTATTGCAGAAATACTGTTTCCGAAAAAATCGGCTATTTTTGCAGTTTTTGCCCCCTGCAGGTAAAACCTTTGACGTTAGGTCAAATCTTAGAGAATTAATAGAAAGGGCGTTAACAGGGCTATCGAATGCACTTTTCTGCGGCTCTGTAGCTCTATTGGTTCCCGAGTTATGCCTTGGCTTCTTGGAAATTGTCGACATTCGACCTGGAAATCGGCAAAATTTTGCCTTCAATGACCTCGGGTGACCTGACCTTTGACCTGAACAAAATTGACCGAAGTGATTTCGTTATTATTTTTGGCGCTCTTTCGAACGCCGCCTTCCGCGTATCGCTACGTGGCCCGGGAGCCGAGTTAGAAGGGGGTGTTCAGACACCCCCCCCAGCAGAGCGTGGAAATCCAGGACCCCCAGCCGGGCGCGGGTTAAATTCCGAGATTCCGACATGGGGACCAACAGAGACCGACAGGGAACCTTGGACTTTGGAGGACGGCATAAAACACCAAAAGTTCTTCCTTGGACCCCAGAGCCTAAAGATGGGACTACCAGAGTCTGGTGCTGAGCCCTCTGAGACCTGTTTTGGGCCACCAGGCCCAAAACAGGTCTCGTCCATCGTCCATCAGACAGGTTCGGTCCATCAGATGCCGGTTATGGCCCTCAAAAGCCGGTTTAGGACCCTGAGTGGCCAGTATTGGCCCTCCAAAGCCAGTTGGTCATCAGAATTCAGAGGCCAGCCCAATGTGGGCCCTTACAGGCCAGTGTGGAGCTCTCGGACACTCAGAGCCCAGTGCGAGGGACACAAAGTTCAATCTTGAGTCCCCAGGGGCATTCCACGTCAAATCGAACAAAAATCGGCTGTTTTGCACCTTACCATCAGCGATTTCATTATAAATTTGTGAGCGAGTTCCTGTGTCGCCCCGGACATTACATTGATGTTTTTTGCACATTCTGACCACAGGTCTTCTAAATATAGGGCATCAAATTTTTTACAAAATGTTGCATCTTTATATTTTTGAACGACCATAACTTTGGTTGTACTTGTTTGATTTGAATGAAATAAACCTTACTGTTTAGGTAATTTCTTAAGCATTTGTTTAGAATTGCATGGACTTAAATATATGACCTTGAAATTTGCTTAACTCTGTTCTTAAGCACAAAAATTGAAATAGCAAAAAACACGCCACCTTCGATTTGGCTCATTTTCATATATTTTATTGCCTACCATATTCTTAACAGCCTGTGAAAAATTAGAGTGGGCCATTCATACGTTTTGAAGAAAATGGCACATATGCAAACGTATGTTAGCACGCGCAGTGGAAAGGGAAGAGTGAATTTCGCCCCACCCCTCCTGTTTTTCGCCAATATCTCATAATATTGATGCGAAATTACTTATGGCTACCTGTCCATAACTGAATTGCACATCTCATCGTGCAAGCAATAAGAAAATCGGTTCACAACTGTTCTAGTAATAGCGGTGTAAAGTGAACATCCTGTCGCCGCGGCGACGCGGCGACTCGGCAGCCGGCGCCGACCGCTACGCGCCGCCTGAATTGTAGACTGTGCCGGGACGGAACGGAACGGTTCCGTCTTTACATCGCGCTCCTTACCGCTGATTACGTTCGATTCGCGTCAAATTTTGTGAGAAGACTGAGAAATGTACAGGCAATCTTATGGTGAAAGAATTCTGAAAATAGGTTGGTAAACAATTGAAATATGAACGT